ATCCCTCCCTCTTGCAAATCGTCTGAAGGCGCAAATTTCATTTTAATCCAACGTTCTTCCCGCCATCTGCGAAGAGGTCGACCGTGAGGAAGGAGAGGATCGTTGGGAAAATCCTCCTTTCTTACTTTCAGCAAAGTAAGTGGCACGCCCGCATCAGATTTCACACGTGCGAGGCCATTAGAGGATTTTTGAGGAAGCACAAGGTTTTTATTTTTTTACAGATATAATTTAAGAATAAAATATTAAAAAAATAATAAAATAGTATTATAATTTAAAATTTAGTTATTATTAATATATTAAATTCACCTACAAAATAATTTCGCGAGGTAGGGGCGAGGAAATGTAAAGTTGAAAGATACCAATGAACAAAATATCAAAATATTATGTGGGTAACCCATCTATCAAATTCAAATGTGGCCACTTGACCCGGAACGCGGGAATTAAGAGAACCATTTATTTTTTCTGTTGCCTTTAATGCTGTTTTATTGCTTCCCCACCCTTCCGATCCTTAAATAAATCGGATATTTCGCTAATTTTTGGCCGTCGCCGTCAACATTCCAAGCGCGCCGGAAATTCTCGATCACATCGGCGCCGAGAAGGTCAATTCCCTTCTCCTTCGCCTTCTGATACGCGGACCACGACCTCAGGTACGTTATGTACTCATCAAAATTCATCACCCTCTCTATTGCGAACTGATCAAACGGCCCCGTGTCCGACTCTCCCTCCACCGGTTCGAAAGGGAAATCGATCGTCGTGTACTTCTCATCCACCAATTTCCGCTGCGGATCCCAGTAAGAGTTATTGTAGAATCGTAGCAGGACGGCGTCGACGGCCTCGTTGATTTCCGGCAAGCTGTAGCACCAGGCGGCGATCACTCCGTTGGGTTTCTTCAGTACCCACCTCACCTGTTTCAAATATTTGCAGAGATTAGTTGCTATTTGCTAGATATCTTTTTTGCACAAGCCTTTTTGATTGTTGGTTGATATTTGGTTAATGCCCACCACCTGTCTGTTTAAATTCCTCTTACACATTCTTTTACCATCGGCCTATATAGTTTCTGTTTCTTTCACATTAACATCTGTTATGGATTCACAACCTGTTCGTAGAATTTGGGGAGGTCGAACCAGTGCATGGCTTGGGCCACCGTCACCAGATCCACGCTCGATTCTGTTGCCACCACGTTCTGTTGGAGCTCCTCCATAGATATTATTGGAGAGGTGTGTTGGTATCGTATATTGGGGAGTTTAGGTGCGTGTTCCAGTTGTGTTGGGCTGGTATCCGTGGCTATCACATTCTTGTATAACTCAGCCAACTGAAAATTGAAAAAAAAAAAAAAAA